TATATATTGTAGAAGTATTAAATCAAGCTAATTAACATATGCATCACCTCACATGCTTACCATTTTGGGAATGAAAACATTCATTTAAAATCTGTTCTCAGCAATTTTCATATATACTGTGCATTATTATTAATTATAGTCAGCAGCCTATACTCCATATCTTTTGAATATAATTCTCCCATCTCACTAAAATTTTGTACCCTTTAATCAACCCTACCCCAACTCCAACCCCACTTCCCAACCCTTAGTAACCAGCCTTCTTTCTTCTGTAAGTTCAGTGGGTTTTTTAATTTCGTTTTTGTTTTTGTTTGCTTGCTTGTTTTGGAGTCCACATATATGTAAGACAATGGAGTACTTCTCTTTCTTTGTCCAGCTTATTTTGCTAAGCATAATGTATTCCAGGTTCAACCCTGTTGTCACAAATGGTAGGATTTCCTTCTCTTTATAGCTGAGTAGTGTTCTGTTGCATATCATATTTAATATATCCATCATATTTGAGAGATATTACATTTTCTTTATCTGTTCATCTGCTGATGGACAGTGGCTATTGTGAATAGTTTCCTTTCTTGCTATTGAGTCATTTCTTAATTATTAAAATGTTAATAAGAAGTGAGCAAATGGTTTAAATTTTAGAAGACTAAGTATCTTCCAAGATCGCAATATTGTCTAAAGTTAAATATAGATATATTTAACTTAAGTATATATACATATATATAAAGAGATGTATATTACATATATATCTATACATACATATATACATATTTTTTGAGGTATTAGGGGTGGAACCCAGGGTCTCACAATACTAGGCAAATGCTCTACTCTGAGCTCCACCCTCAGCCTCCTAGATGCTATTTTTTATCAGATGAAATACAAATGAAAATGTAGTTTACAGAGCAGATTTTCTTTAAGGACTTTCCTATGGAGTAGTATAAATAATATAGCAAATACTTTTACTGGCAAAAAAGATTATAGCAGGTTTTTCCCCTTGTAGTACTTTTTCCCCATTTGAAATTCAGAGGGTAGAAAACCAAATTTTATGTGAAAAGAATGGGGGAGCCCACAAAACTTCCTTAGGATTATATGCACACATACATATATAAAATAGATATACAATATGCATATATAAATTTACTTATACATATTTACATATGAATTTTTATATACATGCATGCTATTCTCACAGGTCATTGTTACTTGTGGTTTTATTGCACCCTGATGATGTATGTGTGTCATTTGACTGCCAGACTTTACACTTGAATGACAAAGCAAAAATTATCTTGTTATTTATTTATAATTTGATTTTAGGTTTATAGGACATGAAAAGCATTAGGTAAGCTAAGCTTGTTTGGTTCTCTAAGTTGTCAGAAATGTGTTGTTTTCTTGTTGGATTTTGTTGCTTTGATTCTTATCTTTATAGTATCACCTTCATGAAATGAAAAATGTATAAAGAGTAAGCATTGCTTTGAATATGATTTTGGCAATGATAAAAGGATTATAGGTAGAGAATTGCACTGGGTTTAAGAGCAGAGCTCTGAAGTCATCTGACCTGAATGCAAATTCCCTGTGAATCACTGCATGGGCATGTGATTTTGTGACCTTTCTGGACATCTGTTTCCTCATCTAGAAAAGAAATAATCACTCTAAAGTGCTTTGCACAGTGGTGGGCACATATTAATCAATTGGTATGTAGCAGTTATGGGTATTGTTTTATAACAATTATGATTATTTATAATTATTACTATTATAAATTTCATCATATATTTGTACTGTAATTTTAAAGGGAACTATAGTGAAATCTTGTTTTAAGAAATAAAAATAATATATTATAAAGGCTCCCAGTGCCAAAACCAAGAAGAAGAAAGGTTTCATAGTCTTGAAATGAACTTATTTATGGAATTATATTTTCAGGTGCTGATGTTGGAGAACTTGTTTTTTTAAGATGACAATGCACTTTTCCATATTTAAGTACTGTACTTGATTTAAGCATTGCAACAAGGTCTCCATAAGAAAGTTTACTTTTGGTTCTCTCTTAGTTTCTTGTCTATATTTCTGACTCTTTTTTACAAAAAGAATGGGCATAGAAAATAAAGTAGGAAGGGAGACAGAAGTAGGGGAAAGGGGGCAAAAGGCATAGAAAATGCATTCTTAACTGTTTGCATTCCTTTTTGAATAAAGGAAAGTGAGTATGTACTGTTGAGCGTGTATTCCAGTCCCCAGTACCACTGGCTCTGGAAACAGCAAGTGCTTTTCTTTGGGAGAAGAGAGAGTTGGGACCCCCTAGGGCTACAGAGGGTGACTCAGGGTCAGCACATGGTAACCAGGGCAGGTGAGTGAGCATGTGGTACCACTTTCCACATCACAAGACTTAAGGCCATTGTGACACTGACTCCCACAGTGACCTACAGTGGCTTGTTCTGTCTACTCTGGAAGTTTCTGCACTTGTTCCCTGCTGTGGCTATTCTCTGGAATCTAGTCTTCTTTCCCCCACATGCATATATACATGTACACACTATCAAAAATGAGCTCTTTCCGGAACTGCTTCCCCCACCCTCACTGTCTCCTCACTTGTAGCTCACAAATACTACAGTTCTTAAAAAAATAAAATAAAATAAAAAGCTATTTCCCCCTTAGAACAGATGCAAGATACCTTGTGTCAAAGTTTGTTGTTAGGTTTGTTTTTATTTTAATGAAAGATAATATTAAGTAATACTCCCAAATTCATATTCATACAGGAGACACAATTTCAGGTCCCAGACAATACTCACGCTGTACATGTGAATCCAGCTTCTCAGTCAATTTGTAAGAAACCGTAACTTTCTCTTCCCATCTCAAGAGGCTCAGGTGTATTGTGCAGTAGTGAAGTCCCTTCCCACCCTTTCCTCCCTCTCTCTTTCAGTTACCACTGATTCCATGTAGGTCCTCCACTCCTCTGTCCTCAGAACTGCTCTCCCTGCTTCCAGTTTTGTTGCTTCAAAGCCTTCAGTCCTTTAGAGAATTATTGCAATGGCTCAAGGGTTCTTCTTAACTATCAATTTCTTAGTAGTTGTAATTTCCTGATTGTGTAGGAAAGCAAAAGTCATTGGACTAATTATTACGATAAGTAATGTCTATTTAACATTTTCTATATGCTGTACACATTTCTCATAACTTAATACTATTACCCCATTTTACAGGTAAGACAGCTAAGGGAAAGAGAAATTTAATAACTTGTGCAAAGTTACATACCTAGAATGTGGCAGGGCTGAAATTCCAACTGAAGCTTTGATCGGAGGGTAGAGTCCAAGTTCTTTCACATATTGGACCAGGGCTCCATGATCTGCTGCCTGGCTCACCACCAACGACATTCCTGCATTTCTAGTGTTGAGTAGCAGTCTCCAGAATCACTGACCACTCATTCTGGCTCCTCAAATATACCATGTTTTCTCTCACCCAGGTGGTTACTGTGCTTCCTTCACTTTGTCTCCTCTTGCTTGTGCCCTTACCACTTCCATACACCAAGCACGCTCTCACCGTGGGCCATTTTTCTAGGAAAGAACCTTTTTGGGCTTGGCTTCAGGAGACCTTTTTTGATTGACTTCCTGGCTCTACCATTTATCAGCTTCTAGACATTATAACCTGGCTGAACTTCAGTTGCTTCTTCTATAAAATGATCATAAAATTTGATGCCCAACCTTCCTTCCTAAAGTCTAGGATGCTGTGAATAATCACTAAAAATAACAGGTGTCCCTTGCAAAATGTTTTGGAATGAAGGGGCCACAAAACAACACAACCCTTTAAGGTGTCTTTTTAAAATTTTTTTCTGCTTTTATTTTTCACAGTTTAATTTTCAGGATCTCTGAATGACTTGATAGCTGTAACAACTGGTATTTTTTTAGCTAACAATCCATTCTGAGGAGCCTTCCTATGCTCCTTCCATTGGGTGCTTCTTTAGGCTACTTTGATCCTTTTCAGTTATTCACAAGTGAGCAGACAGTTCGGTTGCACTGTTCTCATAAGCGTCAAGTCCAGCAAGCTGTCTATGTAGAATATCTTCATTCCTTTGATTAAAGGGCTTTGATGAAAGTCAACTGTGGTTTTTCACACCTGTAATCCCAGCACTCAGGAGGCTGAGGTGGGAAGAATATGAGTTCTAGGCCAGTTCGGGCTATGTAGAGACCCTATCCAAAAATAAATAAAATGAAATAAAGTATTTTTTTTTAAAGAGCTTTAAAGAGCTAGATTAAGAAACAACCCACAGAGATTTGGGAAATCTGTCTCTCAAATTATTTGTGCTAGGGAACGCTGTGAAAGAGTCCTGGGCCCCAGTTTCTCACTTTCTTCCAAGTAAAATGTTACACAACTTTGCTCGCCTTTTCCTGTCCCTCTAAGGCACATCACATTGACACCTTCCTCCTGTATCCCTGCCTTGGTGTAACTGAGGTTGCTGTAGCAACAGCACACATGGAGTAACATTCCCCGGTAACTACAGTGGCTGGGACGTGAGTCAGTTGAAAGTTTCACGGGGTTTTTATTAGTGTATGATGCAGTCCTATCTACAGTTCCTGGTGTAAGACTTACACATGATGATGACAAACACTCTGTTAATCACCTTTGAACGTTAGATGGCCCAGGGTCCTCTCATGGAAACCAGTGAAGTAGTAGCTGGTTCCTTCCACAGCACTTTTGACTAATCTCAACAGTAAGAGACCAATTGTAAAACTCAGGCTCCAGCACTGTAGCTCCCTAGAATTCTATGCATATTCTGTATGCTTAAAAAGCAACAGTGACATTGGTTGATGTTAAAAAGCCCCCCTTTTTAACTAGGGAGTTAGACAATAGTTAACATGCTGGAAGATGTATTTTCAACCCAGTAGCTGGGAAGAACATGCTGAAGAACAAGGATGGAATTACCATAAATCTCTGTGGGGATTTCTAAAAGTGGAAGTTACCATTTGATACTTATCAAAAGTGGCCATAGAGTTATTGGTGACTTCTAACACAGGATTTGGTTTGTCTTTCAGACATGGAGATGACTTGATTGTGACTCCATTTGCTCAGGTAAGCACAGCTTGGTGAGTGGATGGGCTTCTCACAGATTGGGAAATTTGATTTGGGGGTTTAATTCTGGTTCTTAATTTTATTTTAAACCAAACACAAGTATAAGTAAAAATTGTATGTTAATTGTTCAAGCAATTCATAGGCAATGCTAGAGAATGTGACTTTGACCTTATAGATATATTTTCTATAAATCCATAGACTCGAAGCGTATCCTGACTTCAAATAAAAAATTACTCAAGTGGTAGAGGACTTCAATGGGCCCATATTTCTTTAACTGGCATAAGCATTGGAAAAGAAGGCTATATCATGGAGTAAATGACATTTAATGTAATTAGGAACATGATCAGTGCTTGGAGTTCAGTAATCTGATTCAACCTGATACCTTATTTACTCCCTTTTTGCATGGGTCATTTGTGGAAAGATTTTGCTAGGTGATATGCTTATGCTCATTCATTTTAAGCATATAAAAATGAAAATACTTTAACCATGTGACACAGATACAATGTGATAAAATGACCTAAAGTGTTTGGAATATGCCTAAAAAGGTTAATGACTTGATGTGCTTTGTACACATGAGAGTCACCTAGAGTGTCCTTATCCCAATGCCCGTGGCTAGACTCCTGTTCAACTACATCCAAAACTCTAGAGGTTAGAGCTAAGCATCTGTAGCTTAGCCATCGTCTTTTTACGCATGGGATAAACCATGATTTAACCTAAGTCCTGAAGTAGGGTTTCAGCTAACACTGACTGATAAGAAATGTTGAATAGTTAAATAGAAGTAATCCTGAGTGATTATAAAGATTAAATCAGGGTTATGTCATGAATAACAACAGCACGTTGGGCAATGAACTTAACTTTTCTGAATGGCTTTGAGCAAGTCCGTGAACCTTTGCAGGCCTGGTTTCCTCTCCTGTTGAATTGATAATTCCAAGAATAACTGTCTCATAAGGTTGTTAAGAGGTTAAAAGAAAACTGGGGTTATAAAGCGCTCAATACAATTCCTACAAGATTTAATATTTAAGGAATTTTACTTGCTATTGGATTAGTTATATGTAAATGAAATTGCTTTCTTATCTCCAAAATGTCTCATAGGTATTTTTTAAAAAATAATAGCAGTGTTTGGATAATGGAATTATGTGTAGTTCTTTAATCTTTTAAATTTTTCTGAAATTTTCTTGTAGCTATTATTTAGCTCCAAAATTTAATCAATCCATAAACCACATTATATGCACTGTAAGAAACAGAATGTGCAGCTGGGGGTGGAGCTGGGGGTGAGCATTTGCCTAGCATGCGTGAGCTCTGTATTCCATCCCCAGCACTTCAAAAACACTTGGAATATGACCACCCTCTCTTTCAGACTAACCATCTTTCAGATGGTTAATAGCTTCTTTGCTTAAGATTATTTTCGCTGAAGATCATGAATTTTTTCTAGTACTTATATTTCTGTTCTTGAAAAAGTATGTATTTTAATCATATTTTGTGATGTCAGAATCTTAGAAAATGATTCTTAATTGGTTGCTGTATCTAATCATTGAGAGCTAAACAAGCAGATCAAATCAGACAGCACAATGTAAATAATACTGAGAATTAAACCCAGGGCCTTGTGCATGCTAGGCAAGCACTCTACTACTTAAGTCTGCAACCCTAATAAACTATTTAAATTAAAAAAAGATGTGTGGTTAATACCTGTGCAAGTGGAACTCTGTGCAATCTGCAGAAATACCTAATGCCTGAAAAGAATCCTGAGATGTATTTAGAAGACTTGACTTATGATTAGCAAAATGAATCACTTACCTTGTAGAAAGTGCTCATTGCCCAAGGTCCCAAATTCTTTTTAAGTGACCTCACCACAGCTTTCACAAAAATTTTACCTGGGGTATAAAGTCTGGAAAGCTCTAACAGGATGTAAAAAAGAAAAGGCTGTTAGCAGGTAAGACACAAGGTCTGCTAAGTCAGTTTGTCTCTGACCTTCTCTTGAGACCAACTAGCATACAGTGTTGTGTGATACAGAATAGAGCACTTATCAATTAATGCTAAACACTAATGCTAAATGTATAAGATATATATGTCACATGAAGTGATACCAACGTTATTTGGTTGGACATATCATAATTGCTTTAAATAACTGATTTTAGCTAAGACTCTCAGAAAAGTTTTCAGCCAGTAGGTCAAAGAATCATACCTGTTTCCCAGCATGCCTTGGGAGGTAGAATTTCACACTCAATTTTGATGAAAAAGATACCCTGGTCTCAAAATTAAGCCTTACTGCATAAAAAGTTTAGAAATATGAAAGCAAAAGAATGAAAAAATTTCCTATAATCCTAACTTCCAGAATAATTATTATTTTACTTTTTATCTGTTTAGGTTTCTGTGCATCATTTTCCTTCTTACAATTCCTAAAAACAATTTCCCTCTCTCTGAAGTGGTCAAATACCTTCTTCAGAACCATTTTTTTTTTTTTTGATCTCAGGGCATTGTGTTTAAGTAACACCTCCAGTCCTTTTTTGGCTTTACTTATTTTTCAAATAAGGTCTCATGTTTTTGCCTGGGGTGGACCTCCAATCATGATCCTCCTACCTAAGCCTCCCTTGTAGCTAAAATTACAGATGTGCATCACCACTCCAGAGTTATTTGTTGAAATGGGGTCTCCCTAACTTTTTCCCTGGGTTGATCTCTAACCGTGATCCTCCTGACCTCCACCTCTCATGTAGCTGTGTTTACAGGCATGATCTACCACACCTGGCATCCAAAACCCATTCTTTATGCCTGAGTACATCTCCAAAACATGAAAGAACCCTCATGTTCATTCCAAAGATAATAAAATCCTAAATTACAGGAGAATTTAAGAAGTCATGCAAAGACATATTCCACTTTGTTGGGTAGAGCAGAAACTGAAAACATCCTGGCTAGACCTGACTTTCAGAACGAATCCTATAGTATCCCTCCATGTTTTATTTTTAATGTCCAATACAATGGTGAGCAGTGGAGATTCTTGCTGGTATTTAATCTCAACTCTTTTCTACTTCCAGCTTCCCACATTTTCCAATATAAGTTCAGAATCCCCAGTATCCCCAGGAAGTGTGCCAGCTTTCAGTTGTTTATGTATTTCAAGGTAGAAATATTCTGTAATGTTTCTGTTGAAATCTTTTGGTGTGGAGACCAATACTCCTGTCATGTACCTCATGCTGGCAGCCACTGCCCTTTCCTCCCAGTGAGCACAGGAACAGTTTGGCCAGTGTAGGGGACATGGAGCACTAAGGAGGAGCAACAGTGCTGCCATGCCTGGATCCCTGTTCCACAGTCAGCTGTCTTCGGCCCCATAGTCCAACTGTTTGTGACTATGCCTACCTTGTAAAGCTCTAAGTCAAGTAGGATTTTCATTCAGAAACATGTAATGTTACGAAAAGTGGAATCCTTGATAAGAAAAAGACAGAAGCTCCTACCCAAACATTAGGTTCCTGGGAAGACCATCATATGTTCAGACTAGGGAGATAACCTGGTTATTGAAAATACAGGTTAGGAACAGTCACCTCATTTTGCCTTTACCCTAACCAAAATACAGTACCTGGGGTCCTTTGGCGGGTGGGGGCGGGTGTGGTAGTTGTGGTAGTTATTAGCACTAACTATTCTGACATCAGTTGGTAATAAAACGTGACCAGTATCTCTTAGTGCCCCTGCATGTTCCCACACATTTTATCCAGTACAGTGATCTATGGCCTAGATACCATCCCTGACTGTCAGGCAGCGGAAGAAGATGTCATCTCATTCCAGTTGCTTTTGTTTCAGCTTTTCTTTAGCTTTCATTAATGCAAATTATAGCTAGCATCCTTCTAGACATCTAAGTTCTTATTAGGTTAAGCCACAGGAAGCTCTCAATGACTTTAATGTACAGAAGTAATTTGGTGTTGTTTAACTAAAAAATAACTTGGAAGTAGGTTTACTTTTCCACCAAAAATGACCTTTTTTAGGTTGTAAATGATTCTGACTCCAGTGTTTTGTTTATATCTCAGGTCACATACCTTCATCACTACTCCCAAACCAGTGATTTGTGTTTTACTGCCATCTAGAGGCGTAAAGTAGATTTGGAATGAAAAACAACCCTCAACACTGTTTTTCTTTCTCAATCAGACAATATTATGTCCAGTTATTTGTTTAAAGAACACGTTTTCCACTAATTTCAGAGCATCCTATTTGCTAATAAATTTTTTAAATCACCTAAGAGAGTCTAAGAGTAATGTGTGTAAATAATATCCTCAACCCATGGGGTAGAAAATGAACCATTTCAGCCCCAAATTTTTCTGGACTACTGGTATTTTTTTCCTACTACTGGTATTCTTTTACCTTAACCAATTATACTTTTACTTGTAGGGAAGAAAATAAAGCAATGACCTTAATTTTCTACCATTGAGCCCTGTGGAAAAACCCTCAGAAACCTCTTTGGTTAGCAAGCACTGAAGAGGGTAGAAAATTATAGGAGCAGTATAGCTCTGACTACAGCTCTTGGAGGGCTGAATTCAGGGGGAGTGGAAGTGAGAGCTGCCTTGGAACAAAAGCAAAGATTGGTTGAACCCAACTCATGAGCTCCAGTAAAACTGTTTCCATTTCTCCCCCACAGCCCACAGTAACAGTTTCTCTTTGTGTCCCACAAGAAAGAAAGAGCTTAAAAAATAAATGCAGCAATATTTGTGATAAAGACCTCTGCAGTCAGTCAGCCAGGCCTAGGGCAAACCCCCTTAAAAGATTTTTCCAGAACTTTTATCTACATGTTTGCAAATATCATATATGTCATAGTTCAGAGGATAATAGGCCACACTTCATACAACACTTATAAAATACACTTTGTCCTACCACATAAAAACAATGATCTAAGGCTCGCACACATTAATATATCTTCAATGTCATTTACCACCACAGTGTGTGTAAAAGGAAACAGTAAGAGACAACCTGAAAGTCAGCAGGCCAGGGACAGGCAGCTGAGTGCCTGAGGGAAAAAAATAGAAGGGAGATTTCTTTTTTCATTTTTTTATCTTGAAATATTTCATACATATAAGAGAATATATCTAGTGATATGTAAAGCATAAGTAATAATAATAAATTGAAGAGTTTAAGAAACAGAAGAGTACCAATATTCTTAGTGCCTCTTAAATTTCTTTCCTTGATGACCTCTATCTACCTTTTCTCAGAAATAATAATCACTTGATTTTATATTAATTATTGAGGTGCTTTTGCTTAATAGTCCTTCTCCTGTATAAATCCTGCAACTTGTAAAAGCATGGATTATTAAAAATGTATACAAATAAATTCAGATTAAAACCCAAAAGAAAATAATCTAGTAATACCTTTATCATTATAACAGAGGCAAAAACTCTACCGAAAATATTTCTTTGATGAGCTCATGTTTTCCTTTCAAATGATCATAGCATGAATTATTGGCAGTACTATTTTCCACAGAACACAAATTACTGCAGAACTATTTCTGTTTGGCCAAGTGTCAAATATAGTGAGCTAAACTATTATGTATCAAATAAAAGTCTCAAAATTCTGCAAGAATCTTATTTGACATGTTTTATTAGTATATTTGATATTCACTTCTTAAAACATGAATTAAGCCTGCATGACTTAATGACAGTGGATCATTTATCCAACTTATTTCTACATCATTCAAGATTTTGTGCCTTAGGAAAGACAGTGTGGTCTGACGTCAGCGCTTAGCTATTTGGATACTCTGTCATAGGCAGTGTGACCTTTCAGAACTGTGAGTGTTTATATTTGATAATGAGCTGGGTTTTTCCAGTGACTAAGTTAATGGTTCCTTGGGAAGTGCCATTAACTCCTTCGGGGAAGTGCTGTAGGTCACTGTCCCAGTGCTAAACAGCTCCCTTTGACTTACACAAATTAATATCAGCTTCAAAAAAATAATATCAGAGACATTTTTATTTTAGAAAAGAAATATAGACTGACTTTAGTCTATCAGTGCCACATTTGGTTCCCTCTGGAACTAGTCTACTGTCAACACAACTAGCAATTTGGGAGCCCTCTTGCATTATCACTAAGAGACTTTAAGTGAATTCGCTGTAATCAAATGAAATGTCACCATAATGGTCTTATAGTCACTGAGTACTTCCTACTTGCCAGACCCTGTTCTTGACACTTGATTTGCCGTTTCCTTACAGCAATCCTGATGCTCTTATCACTGCTCCAGTTTTACACTTAAGGAAACTGAGGTACAGAGGTTATGTAACTTGTCCAAATCACACATTTAATAAGCAAAAGAGTCAGGCAGACTGGCTTGTTATGTAATACTGTAGCACATACCCAGATAGCTCAATTGTGTATTGTAGACTAATTTATCATTCTAGATACATGCAGATCACATGTCATCCCACCTACTATAGGTTCTGCTCTGCAGACACTTGCCCATTCTAGGACACAGTGAGGGACAGTAGGTTTGCATAACTTCTCTCCTAGGCTTATCCATTCTTTGGCCACCTTCTAGTTCCAATTGTAATTTAAAAAAGGAAAGGGCTATCAGAAGTGGTAGCATCTCTCTCTCATCTTGTTATGTTTGCGGATATATTACATCTATTCAGCACATTTTATTGAGTATTTTCTATGTGCCATGCACTGTGCACATGCAGAGCAGTACCATTTAATGTGAGAAATGCCTCCCCAGGGACTTCTTAAAATCCTTACTATGACAGCACTAACAAAGGAAAGGAATGTCTGTGTACTAGCTAGAAGAACTACACACAATGGCAGAAAATTAGTTTAAGATTCACCTAGCTTTCTGAAATCACAGGATTCTTGGTAAATTTTTGGATGGAATTTTGGAGTTGTGTTTTTTTTTTAATCCCTAAAGTGAGATTTTATTAATATTTCATATTACACTATTTTATATTTGCATAAAATGTAACCATGCCCCATGCGTATTGCCCAATGTGGTGACTAAGGGATCCAGGAATGCTGTGGAAACCACTGCTGCTGTTAGCCATATTTGTGCCCAGGGAGGGATTTCTGGAAAATTTTTGCAGTCTTACCTCTCTGGATTTAATATAGATACCTAGAAACTTCATTAAGTTCTAGGAGATTGCTTAGTGCTATTATGATTCTTTAGTGCAACAGGCAAGCAATATCAAATTTCCCCTGAAAACATTTTTAATTGCCCTAGTTCAAAAAGTCTAAAGAATTATTTTTTGTCATTGTAGGTCTTGGCCAGCCTGCGAACTGTACGAAACAACTTTGCTGCATTAACTAATTTACAAGATCGAGCACCTAGCAAGTAAGTTATCCTTTTTTTCCCCTCCTTCATGCTAAACTTTGACATAGTGACTTATCAATTTGAATTGAACTCAGGGCAGACTTCTCTGAGACATGTTGTCGAAGTGTCTACAGTAGCTCATAGGACAGTCTGTTCATCCTCTATAAACACTTTGTAGTGATGGTTCTAATACCAGAAATGAAACAGAGTGATAAATAAATAGGGTGATTCCATCTGTCAGAAATCACCTGGCATGGTTGGTCTTATGCTCAGTAATTTACACAAAGAGTAATTTCATGGTTTTGTCATACTTCGTAAATAAACCACAGGCAAGTAATCTCATTAAGCCCTAAAGGCAACTCAAGTTCAAGTTCATCCTCTTGATTTTTTAAGAGAACAATTAGAGAAACACCATATCATGGCAAAGGTGTTTGATTCTCCTGCTTATTAACACTCAGATCAGTAGTATTCATGAGCCATTAAAAATTGTGATTGATTTAGTTACAGTGGAAGTGTTTGAAAGAGAGAAAGCTGAGATGGGAAATGATTATAATTTGGGGGTCTTGATAAAGAAAAAGCTAATTTTGCAAGATTAAGTGGGAAGCTGATAAGCTATTGTTCAAATGTTTGGAACTATTAGCAATAATAAAGTATCACCAAATCATCAAACCCACAAAAACTTTCCCTAAGAGAAAAGACATGTAAGTCAATATGAAGAGGGCATTAAAGAGAAATTTACTTGGGCTGACTGTATGTTTAAGTGTATACAATTTCATAGTATTTGTTACTTCTTAAAGAATATGAAAAATATGGACTTTCTTTTCCATAATAATATAATGGTATTATATTATTCCCACTATTAAAGAAAGATCTGGCCATATGCAAGTCCCTCCTGTGATACAGAAAGTTTTTTTAAAAACCGTTGGTAGAATGCCACAGTGCCAATAAATGGAATGGAACCTAGAATCATCAGCTGATTGTCATGTTTTCTAGGTAATGATTTTTGTAGTCCTATTCCCTCATACTGAACACTTCTCATCTTCTTCCTGTCCTCATCCACTGGCTAACTAATTCAATCTTTAGTTCACAGATGAAGCATAAGTGCTTTGGGGGCATTTTCCCCGATATTACCCAGCACAGACACACACTCACAAGCCCCAAACTGGCTGATGTGCCTTTCCATCTCCATTGGTTGCATCCTGTACTTAATTCTGATTTCAGCACTTGTCTCTCTGTGCTCCAGTTGTTCATTTCTTTGACCGTTTGCTGCTTAACAACGTCAGTCCCCAGTGAGGAGGGACTCACATTTATGTAAATTGGTTCCCAGAACCTCTCCTAATACAGATTAACTACACTTGTAGGCTGAAAGAGGACAGTGGTAATGCAGCATTTGATACCTGGAGATGTGCTTTGAGGAATCCATCCATCTCAGCATAGTCAACTGTGCAGATCTCAGTCGCCCTTCGCAGCTTTGGGCATTCTGTAGCTTGTAGGAACATTTGCTTCACTTTTGGAAAATCTCAACTCTGCAGAAAAAATGAAATTATTGGTTGTCACTCAAAAATGTTAGTCTCAGTTTTCATCTAAGAAATCAATGTCTTGTCTTTAAAAGGTGAACAATAATCTAACTGCTTTTAAGCTTCTTTCGGGTATGGTTACCTGGGTACAAACACACAGTTGAAGTGCATATATCACACTGGCCTTTCTGTCTCCAAAGAGATGCTGTGTGGCCCACTCTACATAAGAGAGATGTTTTCAATTGATTTAGAGGGGAGGACAGATTAAAATTGTGTGGGGGGGTCAAGGACAGAACATCATTACTAACCCTTAAGCTTACACCTGCCTTGATCCTGATCCTTGATGCAATAGCTAAGGTGGCATCTAACCAAACACTGTTACCTAGTAGACTCTAAAGGCTGATGTGGTTTCCCTTTTGATCAACACAGAATGGTACCTCCTTTGCTAATCCCAATAGGACTCAATCTCCTGACAACTAGTTCTGTTTAGTGATAGCAGAGAGGATGTATTGCTTAATGACTAGAGGAATCAGAATCTTCTTTCTGGACACTCACAGTGCCACTAAGCGATTTCCAAGATCATTGTTGGAGTTTGAGGAAAGTATGTGATGCCTTGCACAATCCACATTTTTATTTGCTATAGAAAAAGAGTCTAGAATGAGGGGAAGTGGGTAAAAGGAGAATGATGGAAGGGGTAAATTCAACGATGATATATTGTAAGAACTTATGTAAATGTCACAGTGTATCCCTGGGACAACAATAATATAATAAAAAAAGAAAACTAGAGAAAAACAGAATAAGATAAAGAGTCTATGAAGAGTGTAGCCAATCCCCAAGGCCTGAGTGGATATCCTGATGCTGATTTCTGACTTTGCTAATCTACTTCTGGTTCCTATCACCTTGCTCTTTCCTGCCCTTGAGATTTTGTTTTAATTTCAGAAGTGAATTGTGGCTCTTTCTTCACTAAATGATCCAATGATTAATATTTCCTGCTTGCTGCTACTTGCTGAGATGTTATAACCTACCTGTCAGTCATAGGATTGAGATTAACTGGAGATAATTGGTGATGAGTCTACTCCTGGGCTTTCTAAAACTATAGAAAAGTGTAAAGATCTTCATTTGATATCTTTCTTGGACCAAAGTCAATGTTCTCAAATTTTTCACAGAGCAAGAACTAAAAAGCAGTAATCAATGTGTAAATTGCTTGAATAAACTCAAGTCAACAACAATATACCACCCCGAACATGCCCAGTCTCATCTGAATAATAAACTCAACAAGAAACTAGATAACCACTAGTATATAGGTCAGAGCTATCAGAGCAGCAGTTTAAAATACTGACCTTTTTGTTTTGTGAGGCATTTAATTTAAATTCCCATTTTTATTTTATAATAAAAATATAAAATAATTCAGAAGTAAATCTTGGTGTTTTTTCAATCAAAGATAAAATTTCAATCCCAAACTGATACCAAGAAATCTAAGGACAATGATGCAGAGCCAGAGGTGGAGTGGAACCAATGAGAATGGACAAAAAGCCAGAGACTGCTTTGCCCAGTGCCCCCCGCTCTGCTGTGTCATCTCAGCAGGGCAGATAAAGGGCCTGCGTCCATCTGTGCATGTGGTTGCTATCTATCCAGTTTCCACAGAAACATTCTGACAGTAAGACCACAGAGCAGAGTGCAACCTTAGGATCAGATTACTTTAGTTCAAATCTCAGCTTTTTTACTCTGAGCAAATTTTTCAACTTCCCCCAAATTTATTTTCCTACTGGTAAAATGAGAACAATGAGTTCATCTGGCATAAGGTTTGTTGTGAGGATTAAGTGAAATAATTCATTTAAAGTGCTCATTTAGCACAGCGTCTGATATGCAGTAAGTGCTTATTAATGGTAGCAACTGGAAGAAACACACACACATCAAATATTCTGCAGACATCCTTAGGTATTCTTAAAGTGTTAGTAGAGATTGCTATCCTTTAAAAGCTGCTGGTTATGAATTATTTTCTTTTCAATGTAATTTAGTAGGCACTGGTTGAATAACTGGATCCATTGTGCTGGACTTCATAGGGAATAGAATATGTTGTTTGACTTTTGTGGATCTTGGTAAACATCTAAACAAAAATAATGAAGAATACCAGGTGGAATCTATTTAAGCACCTTTGGTTTGTAATATTTCTTAAATTACTGTATCATCTATTTCAATAAGTTGTTAATATACTTCTTTAACAAATGTATCAGATGTTTCTCAATATGAGAAAATAGAAATGAAAATGTTAAGTACCTTCTCTAATTGTAGAATAGTTTATAAGGAATCATTTATTCTGATAACTTATAGGAAATCATGAGACTTTATACCAAAAATAAGTTAATTAACATTTTATTTTTTGTGCCTTTGTAAATTTACAATTATTTCAAATTCAGAAAGTCTGGTTAGCTCTATAAGCCCTAGCTTAATTATAGTCTATCAATAAGAATTTCATTTTATATATCTCTCACAAAGCTGTTTATTCCACCCCAATGTCTATTACCATAAGATTCAACAACTTTCTTTTCCCTTTTTTTCCCTCCCTGTTTTGCTTTTGTTTTTGTTTTATGTCTGTGATCTGAGCCACAATAAAAGGCCAGCCAGGAATTTGACAGGCTAGTCTGAAAGAAAATCTTTCTTTGTATGTCCTAACTTTAAAATAATCCTTTAAATTAAAATGTCCTGTCTGAAATGATTCAAAGAGTACTGAAATTGATAATAACCACATATTTACTGTTTTGTGTTTTTTTTTTCCTTTGTCAGAAGATCACCCATGTGCAACCAACCATCCATCAACAAAGCCACCATAACAGGTAAGAGAGATCTGAAAACTTACTCTTTTTGTGTCCAGAAATAAGCCGTATCTTCTAAGAGACCATGCAATACTGACACCAGTTTTATATCTCAATTTAAAAATTTTAAAGAAACAATTTTTTCCTCTGTACATTGTCCTTACTATCATTGATCTCACAAGTTTTCCATTTAAGCCATTCCTCAGAAAATATTTACAGATGTACCGTATTTTTAACCGGTAACTTTGTGCTTGTACTCGGTTTAGTATCACTCTGGGCAGCTGTATTTGGAGAGATAGCATTACCTTCAGAATGTTTGCCATATTGCTTCATTGCTTGACTATCAACATGTAGCACCTTAGTTTAATGAAAACAAAACCAAAAATAAAAGGGAAACATTCTTGGTTAATCATATCCCAGTTGTATATAGGAAAGAAAACTATTGCCATTTCAGTAATCCTTACTGGGACCTACAGCTGAAAATAAGTTCAGTTTGTATGGGAAGAAAAGTTATTCTGCAACACAGAAAAGTTCAGTGCATTCAAAAGAAAGAGATCCACACATGTTTGGGAAAGAAAAGTAGAGGAAAGGATGAGGAAAGTAATGGGTATCAAAATAAAATTATTCCAGTTCCTATTAGTCTATTCAGATAGGAGTCTTGATCTCAACTGAACCAACACCAAATGAATGATCTCATTTTGCTGAACCTAGCACCAAACTGAATTCATTTAATTATTTCTTTAAACCCCAATTGATTCATTAAAGTAATTTTCTGGAAAAGAAAACCTATGACTTTTAAAATTATTGCCAGAAGAAAATTCTCCAAACTAGACAAACACTTCAATTGATTCAAACGTCTTCTTTGGACCCCCAACCCATAATATGTAGAGAAGGACCTTACCAAGTTTTTTGTGAGTATATTTTTCATGAAATTTAAGTTTATCATGGCCACTCAATTGGTTCAATTTGTGTTCATCACATCAAGGTTGATTCTGAAACCATTGTTAATGTCTTCTTTTCTGAAAGTCTATCAAACATGACTTGTATTTCAGCAACAATTAAATTATTGGATATTCCTTCCATGTGTCTCTTTCAAGATGCTGTTGGTGGTGATTTTCCATTATCATTTTCATAGTATATGTTCTTGACTTTGATCAAGAGCTGAACAGTAAAAATTACTATATACTAAAATAAATTCTTTGAGTAACAGGTTTCTTCTTTAAAAACTCAAATTCAATATAAATAAAGCCTATGCTAAGATGGAGATGTGGGAGTGGATCCCTCTTTACTATGTACTTTCCTGAGTATGTTGAAGGGTAAACAAGCCTATTGTTGTGTCCACATGCTTGGGATTTCTAGTGAGAAAAATCACATGGAACCTCCTCCCTACGCCTGCTATAGGAACTCCAGGCACCCGGTGCACCCCTCTGGAAAGGAGCTACCTTCCCCCCACCCACTTGCACAATAAGAAAGACTGTCATTGTGGTTTGAGTAGAATGCATTGCTATTTTGGTCTCTGATAGTTCTTTTAGCTGGAAGTCACATATGAGCTACCTCATAGCTAGGGAAACAGCCTCCCAGATGAACAGTTTCAGGTATCAATGGAGATTGTTATATCCAACAAGAGATAGTTGGGTTCTCAGTGGTCAGGGCAGCTGCCCAGCTACCTTGGTAGGTGCCCTGCCAAGATCCACAGGGGAACAGCTACAAGAAGAAGGCACAGAATTGGATGCACATGTGAGAAACCCCATGGAGCTGGCAGACATTTGTACATAAAGCAAGACCCTAGAGAGAGAACTGTGAACCACTGGAATTGGATAATTAAAGTTAATAGGGCCTCATTTGTACCCACTAGCTCCTGACCTGAGGCCTACAGTGGGGCTACAGAAATACCTTATCTGGGAAGGGAAACTAATTTAACTGTCATTAACTACTTAGAGCGGCTGAACTCCTAACAGCTCACAACAGGAAATTACTTCACCAGACAATGGAAGCTTTGTTACTTGCCCAAGCATTACAATCCAGGGTGGGAACATGGGATGGGGTGTCAGGGAATGAGGGCAACAGCAGGGTAAGATTCCTCTTTCTGAGCCATTTTCTAAAAAACAGACTCTGAAACCTGAGTAATGATGATAATAGTAATAGTAATGATGGTGGTGGTGGTAGTAGTTGACACGTTGGTGCTTGATACTTTGAACCTTGAGTTACCCAAAAGACATGGAAATTGTGTGTGTTCCTTCCCTTCTTGGTCAGTCCTCTGGAAAAGTCCTGGGCAGGGCAGAAAAGTATAAAGAACAGTCAGCGAGGGCCCCTTTCTGGTGATCATAGTCTTCTTAGAAACTTTGTTCAGGATCTGGAGGAAAAGTATAGCCCACTAGTGAAGTTTATGGATGGACAAAAGGCTGCTGTGTGCATAACTCTAGGTTCTCCTGGAGGATAACTTCATGGAATATCACTGAGGTGGTGCCAGTAGGATTGTGCAGTGTTGTGAGGCAAGCCATGCTCTGTCATGAGAGCTGTGTGACCCTGGGTCAGTTACATACCCTTTCTCTGCCTCACTTTCCCCACCTACAAATAATAATCCTACTTCAGACCATTATTTCAAGGTTGAATGTGTTAACATGCATGCCTTTAGCATGGGGCTTCCCAGAGTCAGCACTTTTATTTGGTTTTGTTTTTAGGGCCCACTGTGTATAGAGAACCAGGGGTGACAAGTCAGACTGCTCTACAAAGTACCGAACATTGGTCTTTATAAAATTATAAACCTCATAAATCTGTTACTCCTAGTCCTAGTGGCTAGAAGTCTGAGATCAAGGTGCCAACATGGTTGGCTTCTGGTAAAAGCTGTTGTCCAGGCTGACTCTTCTCATATCACCATAAGAGAGAAAGAGGTCAAAAGATCATGTCCCTTAATGAGGGCACTAATTCCACTCATAAAGGCTCTACCCTCATGACCTAATTTTCTCCCAGAGACTTAACCTTCAAATGCTATCACACTGGGGGCTAGGGTTTCAATCTGAATTGTAGAGGCCCACACATTTGGTCCTTAGCAAGGGGTGGTGAAAAGAATAGACCAAAGTGGGGAAAGAAAAGAGAAGGTGGAAAGAAATACACTTGCAGCATGATAACAGCAAAATGTGGGGATCCCCAAAATATTCCATATGGACATACTTGATGAGTGTCTGTCAAAATGGGGCCTTCTGTTGTCCCAGTTCTGTATCCCTTTCCCTTCATTACTGTCATAAGTGCAGGGCTTTTGTGACTTAGGTAATATTCTTTGGGACTTTTTTAAAAGCCTGAGAACTTGTTTTTTGCCTACAGGAAACAAATTTTATTTTTACTATCATATATTAATTGTAGAGAGGGGTTTCATTGTGACATTTCCATATATGCATCTAATGTACTTTGACCAAATTCACTCTCTCCATTACCTTCTCATCTTTCCTCCTTTCTTCTTAAAACAGTTTTAATGTGCTTCATTATTCTATCCTTATACATGCATATGAAGTATTTCAGTCATACTCATACCCCCCACACACAGGCAAAAGGATAGGTGAAGTCTAAGCACTTTGGAACCACAGTTTTTTGTTTTGTTTTGTTTGGTGGGGCTGGAGTTTGAACTCAGGGCCTCACACTTGCTAGGCAGGTGCTCTACCACTTGAGCCACTCTGCCAGCTCTAACTCTTTAATATTTTAAAAAGAGGAGATAAGAAATTCAACTGTCTATACATAGCATAGCATCCTTTCTAAGGATTTCTAATGTAGAACTTATAATGCCTTTTCCCTGCTTTAAGGTAAATCTATTGAAAAGCTTTAAAGCCAGGAAGGTTTAATTTCATAGCATTGAGTTAAAACATGTTAGTCGCCTGTCAATTTTTATTTCCATTTATGAGAGATAACTATGTGGTCTTAAAATAATCCACAATTCCTTAAGGAGATAAGGCTTCTCAAGGGGCATTTGTAGGGGAGACTTCTACTGAAGGGCTGTTTTGTTCTTTAATGTGATACAGCACAAAGCTAGCATGTGGTATCTTGAGCCTGAATGTGAATCTCATCTCTCTCTTTCACTTTATTTCCTAATTTGGAGAATTGAGATGTGAGTGACTAGCTCTGGGGGGCTGTTATCAGAATCCAAGGGGAGAAGTTATACTGAGGATAGAGTTCAGCAGGTGATAAATAACTAAACAAGTGTTTCTTTTGACAACCCTGTCCCATGCTTGACATTTTGTGTTGGTAAGCATAATTTGAAACTGGAAGAGTAGAAGTGACAGAGGACAATGACACCATACTGGCTTTTCTGTTACACTTCAATAACAACTTTATTTTCGTATTATAATGGCAGGACATTTTTTTAAGAGAGGCAGTGTTACTTAGAGGCTGGCTCACCTGAGAGGTCCTTAGCTGGTGGTGTGTACTAGAACCTAAGAGGAAGTTGAACCATGAGAGGGCAGCAGAGAGTCAAAGATGCCCAAGTCCTGCCGGTATGGAGATGATGGCGCCCCATTTTTTGGAGCAGAGCCATGTCACATAGGACACAATCAGTCTTTTTGAGCATTTGTTTCATTTTAAAATGATGTTAAGAAATGTGTTCTGCAGTGGCTCATGAAACCTTGTCATGTCTTCACAGTATCACTTTCAGTATGCTTCTGAACTTCCACATTTTCATCCTCTTTATTTAATCACTTCCAATTTGAGGATTTTCATGCAGGAATGTAACTTAGAGAAAATCTATTTAAATTTCTTTACTTGAAATATGAGAACCCTAAGACCTAGTGAAAGGAAATGCTACTTAGTGGCAGAGCTAGGAATAATGGTGTCATTTTTCTGAGGCTAAGGTCTTTCTTATACCCCTATAAAATAACAAAATGCATCAAAATATGGTAGCCTTCGAGTTCATAGAAGTATATGTTTTAGATAAGGTAAAAGAAATATTAATGATTATTAATATCTGAGTAATAGATGTAGCACTGCATTATTTGTTCATAGACAGAAAATATTTGTACCAACTTTTCACTGGACAT